GTGTGCCTTGGCAGTCATACTGATATTCTGTACAAACAGTGAAGTCCACTGAGACAAATGTAACATTTGTGATATTGGGCGATATACATAAACATTGATTGATTTATAAAGCGCTTTTCCTGGTGCTCAAAGCGCTTTTAGAAGTAATCTGATGTACCTGATAAACCTGCTCTAGGTATTTACAATATGCACCCGATGGAAGCAGGCCATAGATTTGTCCATACTAAAATGTATTTATGAACAAATAAAACAGCAGAATCTGTATTTTGTTTTTTTCTATGTGAAAGTTTTGATATCAACTTAAATATACAACTCTACGATGGAAAAATAAAAAGTTGTGATGATTGATGAGTTCCTAATGATACTTTTTCTCACTCGGTGAACTCTTCTCTTTTATCCGCTGCAATCTGTCTGTGTCCCCTCATCTGTGTGAAGCAGAGTTTATACACACTGGAGCCCCTCCGTCTTCCTCCCCTTCTGGTAGTACAGCCCCTATCTGACATCCTGCTGGCTTTATAACAGATGGCATCAATAAGGCACATTTCAAACATTAATCTGATGATTTACTTTGTTTTTGTGTTATTTATCAATTACTTTGGTCGTGTACTACGGCATGCTAATGTTGTTCTGTGGGTGATTTAATAGATCGTGAAATGTAATGAGAAAAAAAATCCAAAGCATGAATAAGTGGATGTAAATGTAATCTTTGCAAGATGTACAACCTTCACCCAATTCGATGCGCCTCTGGGCGCCTTTACCACTTCAGAAACAAAGCCATTGTGTTCATGTTTAGAGGGGTTCACTTTAAACGTGACTTAAAATCCTCTACTCTACTCTGTAGCTACAGTGTTTATATTTAGCATTCTGCACAGGCCTGAACACATGGAGTCATGTCTCTAATATTGATCTTTATGTCTAACATATCTCTGTGCTCTGTTCGAACAGCCTTTCCATCCATATATGTCAAATGTGTTCGCTTGAAAGGATGATTCATCCTCTGTTTCTGGGTCAAAGATTACAAGTCATTCATGGTTGCAGCTCTCTGTTATAGTATGTTGTCACTTTAAATTGTTACTGTAACTCTTCTTTCCTCTGCCCCGTCTCTCTAGGCTGGCAGGTTATGTGGAGGCGTTGGCGTATCGGCTGGGAATGAAGATTCCTGACTTAAGCCCCAAACAGGCGGACATGTGGCAGACCAGAGTCAGCTCTCATGCGGTCAGTGCCTTCATATCACACTAAAACCACCAGACCTCAACCCAACTCTGCTCTCAAAGAGTCTCTGTCACTCTGCTGCTCTCACTGAGACCAGAAGACAGTCTTATAAACATCTAGTCTAATGGCACATTTCCACTGCAGCGGGGTAGCCCCGTTTAAGCGTCCCTAAGCGTCCTCGCTCAGGCCTCGGGTTGGCCGTCCGAGGCCGTGGCGCATTTCCATTACAGTTTAGGACCTGGGGTAGCAACGCAGTTTAGACGGGGCGATCTGCTTTTTGGCGGGCTTTTTGGGCGGAGCGACTAAACTGCAGTGGCGTCATCTTCAATGCGACACAACTCACAAAACACACAAAACAATGGAGGATGTGGAAGCGATCGTTTACTTGTTTCTTGGTGTGTGGCTTGTTATCACAGCTACAAGGAAAGTAAATATTTGAATTTCAAGCACCAGTAAGTACGGCCCCATAATAAGAACATTTGAGGAAATATCAGATCATGAAAAGAAAATCTTTCTAATAAATTAAGCGAATATCAAAGCTAACTATATACATAAATACTAAAGTGTAAAACACAGCAAAACTATATTCATAAATCGACCTTGTGACGATTCTCTCTGACCAATCAGCAGTCGAGAGTGTTGACGTCACTAGTTCAGCCCTGGCCCTTCCGATAGAACCACGATTTTATGGGGCCGGGAAAAGTACCCGCTAGCCGGTGCTACGCTATATGGAAAGGCCACCAAAAACTGGCCTGGCCTCTTGAGGACGATTAAGGACGCTTAAACGGGGCTACTCGCTGCAGTGGAAATGCGCCATAAGTGGATATTAATAAACCTGCAGCACAGAGCATTCAAGGGTTTAGTTGTGTGATGCAACGGTAAACATCACATCAGGGTTAGGGCTTTGTACAGTGACAACAGCAACACAAGTCTCTGTGTTACATCACTTCCATCACTCTTCCATTGTGTGAGACAATTAGACGTGCATTGTTTCTAGTGTGCTGCGGCTGCTGAAGTGTGAAATATAATTAGTTGTAATAATTAGTCTCGTCCTGAAAAAGCTCTTCGCTGAGTGTAAAATGTCATGTCACTTGTCCTGGCATGCTCCAATACCTTTTTAGTGTTTTGCAGAAATGTATAATACAAGTTCATTTCTAAGGGAAATCAATGCTTTAGGTTGTCAGTGTTAGCATCTTTCCTTGCAGGGATCTTCTGATCTTAAAGCCAGCAGGCCAGGTGCTGCATGATAACAAAGCTCCCTTCTTTATGGATGGATTTAGAACGTACTGATCCTATTACTGACAGCAATACAAACCAAAAGTGTAATACATAAAAAGGACAGTTTGCTAAATGTAAGAGGCCTATTGACTGGAAACACAGAGACTCAAAGATGAAGAAGTCTGTTTTCAGTCACTCTCTCTTACTTCCATATTCCTCTGTGCAGGGCAAAGCCATCGGTGTTGCCATCGGCTGTATCCTTGGCATGTTTCCTCTTTTCTTCTTCAAGGACGATGATGAGAAGAAGAAGAAGAAGAAAGGCAAGGCGGAAGCGAAGGAGGAAACACAACCACCTCCTGCTCCAACAGAAGACTGAAGCTTACATCTCCACGGAGAGAAATACTATTTGAAATCCATTACAATACTTTAAAGTGGGACTGATTGCGCTTGTCTGGTGGACTGCAGTGTGTGAACATGTCTTTGAACCATTACAGACTAATCATTGGGTACTTTACAGGACCCAGTCAAACTAAAGGTATTCTAAGGATGGTTTTAGATATTATTTCATTGTAGACTTTGAACTTGAGCACAGGGACGTGACTGTCTCTTGAAGAGACAATAAATGATTGATTCATTAGAGTGCTGCTAACTGTAACACCGTAACCTCCTCTTGACTGACCGACATGAGCTGAAGCTAATTAGAACACAGGGCAGTGACCTCTTCCCCTCCTTCCAGGCTGTTATACAATCATCTGACTATAGATGGTTAGATGGAAGGTAGATGATAATTTGCGGGCTCTCTTAAATATCAACAAACGTTGGAACCAATGCATTCAAAAGAAAATGCTGTACGCAGCTTTTTGACGTTGAAGGTTCCTCATATAATGTCTGAAACCCTCATCTGAATCCATGGAGGAAGACTTAACAAAGAGGCATGTCTTTAGTCAGCAGTGTTAAACTTATTTTTTAATGAGTATTTGAAGGTAATGAGCCAAGGAAGGGGGGTCACTTTTTGCATATAAAGATGCACCCTTTCATCAAGTACATTACTCTTCTGTCTTACAAGCATGTCTGCCTTTTAATGATAACAATGTCTTAATAAGTCCTGCCTGCCTGCCTGCCTCATTCACACTCCATGACAACCAGTCAGCTGCTTTTTGTGAAAAATCAGTACTTGTTTAGATTTTTATGTTTCTTGTTGATGACGAACTTTATATTGATCCCTCAAATGAGTAACATGCACCCAATTTCCCCATTTATAATGAGTGTTACAAGGTAGATGCAGTTTGTTTCCTATCTCAGAGGAGTTGAGCAGAAAGGAGACGAACACAGAGAGGCAGAGGGAGGGAAAAAGATTAGAAATGCCAACACTGAACCGCCTGAGACCTCGGTCCCATCTGCAGCCGACCTCTGGCTCCAGTACCACACGATTCATCTCCTCGCCTACCTGCAGCTGAACCACAACTCACTCCCAGAGCAGCTTCTGTCCTGCAAGGGCAGCCTAGAACATTCAGCCCAGTGCTCAGTTTCAATTTGACTTCAAAGTAAATAAGAAGATTGTTTCCCTGTTTGTTTTCTAGATGCTTTTTAATTCCAACACTATTTCACTTCTATCCTATATAATATTGTCTCTGCTCTGCTGCCCCCTTCTGGCTGAAATTCAGAGAAAGTTAAGTTGACTGTCATTTAGCATAAGCATTTCTTTTTCTGTTAGTATTAAAGCCTCTCGTGTCTCGCCTGTAAGTTCCACCGGCTATAGGTAATCAAATTATCGCCAAAACATTCATTTGTCATATTTCTCAATGCAAGTATCTGCATCATTCATCATCAGACATGAAGACAGGTTTATTCGGACACATTTGGGATGATGAGACACCTCCATCCATCCAAGTCTTCATTCAGCTGTCACTGAGTTCCTAATGTATCTTTGAATGGTTGTGTTTCTCACCAGGTTGCTCAGCTCATCAGAAATGCAGTCACTTGTTTATAGCATTGAATCTGTTTGCAAGTTGAAGAAATGAAAGGAAGCTGCCACATGTCACTCTCTGGAAAACTTGCAGAAAATGTATTTATTTTTGTTAAGATATTCAGACTTGTATTCATAAAATGTTCTCACTATGTTCTCTTTATCTGAAAGGAAAATGTTAAGAATAGAAAGTATTTGTCAGCACAACAACCTTTGTTAGTATATTTTCAGCAGCATTATACAACAGGAAGGACTTCTAATTCAACCGACCCCTCTCTATGGTACGGTCCATAAGTAACTTTCTGAAGACTGACCCTGTCTGAGATGTTATAGTTATTTATTATGTGGGTAACAGTGATCCTTAACAGTGATAGCAATGAAGAAAAGAACTGAACATATTTATGTAGTTAGGATTTTTGATCTGATTGCTTGATTTCCACCCTGCATGCACTGCTAATAAAAGAAACAAAAGTGTACATGTTTACTGCGTAAGAATCATAAAAAGATATTCAAATACAAACGTATAAAGTAGTCAAATCACGGTGATAAAACACAATAAACTTGGTATGCTAAATGCAAAACGGATGATTTTTTTTTTTAAACTTAAAATACATATTTAAGGGCTGACTAAACAGGATAAAAGCATGAAGTGATTTCAATTTTAGACAGCCAATGATAAACAGATATCCTTGCAGAGATTAGCAGCATGGATATCTGGACATCATGTGGCTTTTTTTTGGAGCCGAATGTGATGAGAAACCTCTTCTTGATAAGCAGGATGCGATTATAGTAATAGTTTCAAATAACAGTATCAATTTGCCTCCTTGCATCAGATCATTAAATGGCCTGTCTCAGTGCTTTAAGACGGTGCATAGTCCGTCATGGTAAGAAAATATACTCTGTGTGAAAATAATGTAATTTGGAAGCTATTATCTTTCGTAGACTCTTTTTTGCTGCAAGCACCTCTTTTTGTCATTAGGGGAGAGACAAATCTAAAGTTCCTGGAGCTCTTAGTTATTATCTGGAATGGATGTAATGTTATCGTTGTTAAACGGAGAGAATATTAAATCAAATGACTGAAAAACACATTCAACTTTTCTTCACGGGTTTCCTGCGTGAAATGCAATGTGTTCTATGTCGTGACTGCATTATGAAGGACTTAAGGACCTTATGTTTTGTATGTTGTTTTATATCATGAATGTATGATGCTTATTTGTTCTTTAAGTTGTCTGCTATTATAAACAACTTAAATTACACTTGTTGATATAATAACATGTTAGTACAATTAATGTGTTTTGTTTTCACGGTGTGTAGTACCTGAAAGCAATTCTTATTCAACCTGATGCAGGTGAGATATTCCGCACATCTTTATTCAACACCGTCCTTTGGATATTGGATTCATTGATTTGAATCAATGAAAAGTACATATTGACTTGTAGTAGTACATCTAAACTGCAGATTAAAAAGGAGCAAAAACATAAGCACACACATTTGGTCTTCAACGCGGCAAGTCACACATAAATGGACTTCCATGCCCTGAACAGTTAAAATGATATTGTTTATTTTGTAAAGAAAATGAATCCAATAGAAATAAAATGAGCTTTTCCTTCCTGGCAAAACAAGTGTATCTCCCTGCTTCAGCTCCAGAAAGTTATCTGTAGAGAATATGTATGTTTAGGTTGGTAAAGTATAGAAAATAGTTTCATATAGGTAATCCATATACTAAGTCCCTGCAGAATCCCACCTGTGTAATAAATATTGATGTTAATATAATGTGTTCTTAGGAAAGGAACTATACGCTGATAGACATTCATATCACCCCATTCTTTTGAGACAATATGAGGCTATGGGGAGAGGGAGAATCAATTATAGGTTTCCTTCCTTCTTTGTTTCTAAAAGAGATTCCGCCCTGCCATGCCTCTTAATAATAATAATAATTCAACATATAAATCGTTTGTCATTCTGTATTATGTAACTAAATTGTGTTTTAAATGAGACAATTAAAACTGTTTCACTCAAGCTTTATTTGTTACTCACATTTTTTAATACCACTTACTCTTTCCTCCATTCAAACAATACTAAAATGAATCTTACAGTCAGTCTATTTGATCATGTATAAATCTGTAAAATAACATACAAAAATACCGTAATAATCAGTATTTAGTCTTTCAATTAGCTGCTCATTCTGACAAGTCATTTCACTCATTTGTCCTGAACTAAAACACATGCAAACTTTACAGTGGCGTGGACATCAGAGTGATAAAAACAATACATTTAAAGGTTAGTAAATAATGGCTTGTTTCACAAAAACAATGTTATGTTATAGCAAAACCATAATTGGGAAGAGTTTTCAGGCTTTTCAGCACACAGCTCTTGAGGAGTTTACTCTGGCTGATGTGAAGACAAACTGAACCAAAATGAAATATTAGCATTCACTAAAAAATTACTTCGGGAACTTTGAGATTTCTTCTAATTTGCCATGCGAGACTCACAAAAGTTGAAATTAATTCACCTGTTTTGCACCCCTTAAATCCCCCCCGTGTGAGACAGTTGAGTAAAATATGCAAACTAAGCCAAAACAGGCAAATACACATTTCCTCACTAACCAGTAAACAAACCCACATTGTGAGATAAAATGTCAAACCAGGTAATACAATGAATTCAGATTGTGTTTCTAACATGAATAAACAGATTAACTACTGTTGAACTTCACCTGATATACACAGAGAAAGAAAATGTTCATTAAGGAATCTTATATAATGCACTTAAAGGAACAGTCTGTTTTACCCAGGCACTGAGATGCAAGAAAAACTAATATTATTGCATTGCAACTTGTTAGCATTGTTAGCACACCTTATCACAACCAACCCCCCCATAAATGTAGTTAAATGCTAATATGCTAGCCTGCAGCAGGTAAGACCATTAATAACCAAGCCACTGTGCCACCTTCTAAACTCCCAATGCTCCCAAACCTCTGGAGTTATAACCTTTTGATATCGAAAAATAACAATAATATCTTATCATTTAAAACATGAGTGTATTTTTGTGCTCACCATACTACGCTCATGTCTAATCATAAGCAACACCTTCTGATTCATCAACTTTGATTGTAAAAAATAAAGATCCAGTGAAGAGAAGACATTGTGAATTGTGGAGAGAAATTGTAAAATCAGTATAAAAATATGCTTTCTGTTCGTAGTTGGTATGAAGATGCATTGGGAAACGCTGCAGTGTCCGTCAGTTTAAATTGGCTCACTTTAAGGTTTCATTCAGCAGAGTTCAGACGCTACAAACCACCAGCAGATGTCTCTGTTAAATCACCCTGCAGCTGCTATAGGCTCTGTAAATCTAGTTTACAAATGTGTTCTTCCTTACAAACACCATGGTCCTGCTGAGAAGAGATACATTTGATTTGAATCAGTTATTTTAGTGTGCAATGCTAAGATCCCCAAAAGAGAGCTTTGAAATGTATTTCTTCTCAGTTTTACCAGCTCTTTGTTAATGTACTCTTCTTCATGATATCAGGTATCCAGCACCATTTACATGATAGAGTATTAACACATTAAGAATAAGTATGTGATGATTACATTACCTATTGCTTGAGAAAAAAATAGATATCTTATGGTAAGTGGTTTGAATATTTTCATTAAATTATCTCTAGCTCATACATTGCACCATTTCTTAACGTGTTACAGTGCAATGCTAAACAATCAAAGGTTCTTCTTTGATGTTTATAAATCTCTATATGACTAAATGTATGACAAAATACTATTTTCTACAGAAAAGACGTGTCTCCTCTCCTGGAGGAGCTGCCACCCTGCACTCAAAGACTTCATTAGTAGTTTCACTGGACATGTTGACAGATGCATCATGGTCTTATTGGTATTTCAAGTGTTGTTCCACTCAGAGTAAAAAACTATCAGTGAGAGAAACACACACACACACACACACACACACACACACACACACACACACACACACACACACACACACACACACACACACACGCCAGGGCTCTCACTCTTCTTGGTATGCTCTTTTGTTGTAGCCACACAAGAGCAGCCATTGTATGCCATCAGAGTGTGACAAAGTATGAGCGCTTCGAAGAGAGTATGTGCATATTTGTGTTTTAGTGTTTGTGTGTGTGTGTGTGTGTGTGTGCGTGTTTTAGTGTACGTGTGTATGTAAGTGTATGTGTGTTTTAGTGTACGTGTGTGTGTGTGTGTGTGCGTGCGTGTTTTAGTGTGTGTGTGTGTGTGTGTGTGTGTGTGTGTGTGTGTGTGTGTGTGTGTGTGTGTGTGTGTGTGTGTGTGTGTGTGTGTGTGTGTGTCCTGTTGCTCTCCTACTGTGCTGGCTAAGATCCCACCAATGGGCAGGACAGTGCAGATAGAGGACAGGGAAGAAAGTGAGCTCCCTTTCTCTCTTCACACTGTTGCATTGTTGCTGGAGGAGGCAGGCTGGTGTTGAGATGGGCATGGGGGGGGGCAGGGGGGGCAGGTGGAGGAGGTCAGTGTCCTGGTGGTGTTGATATTACAATATGACAGAAACAGTCTCTCCAGTGCCATATGCTCAAGTGATTCATCGCGTTTCCATCAAGGTCTTCTTTCCCAGCTCTGTGTTGTCCCATCAAATAAATAATGTTTTCCCATTTTGAGTTTGCTGAATGCCCTTTGGGGATATTCACTTGTCTTTGAGAGAACACCTCTTGACTGGGAGCCCGGTAAGAGAACATAAAGAAGGGCTTTTTAGTCCACTTTGTTGTTGCTGTTGGAGTGAACAGGCTGGCACTGTGCTGGGCACGGAGACGAGGAGGAGGAAGAGGACGAGGAACATGTTTTGTTGGTGGCAGAGAGTTCACTGGGTTTGTGTTTCTGATGCAGGGCGATCACAGCCAGAATGCTGATGATGTGAACATGGAAATACATAGACCTAGGAGAGAAGACACAATATGACAGTACTTATGTCATAAATGAACTGTACAAGGAACTTTAGCTCAGTAAGAAAACGTCACAGGCAAAACAGAGCATGCCTCAAATGAATTTGAAATAACTCTTTATATACTTTGTGTTGCTAAAGGCAATTACAGGCAGGAATACGAGCTGCAACAATAAGATGATTGACAAGAAATGTATGAGGAGCTATTTTCATTACTATGAATGCCAACCGTCTCTGGTTCCAACTTCTGAAATGTGTATATGCTGGTTTCCTTAGTCTTCTATGATAGTTAACTGAATATCTTTAAGGTGTATTGGGCATAAAATACTTTTAAATATGTCAGATCTTTCCTTGGGAATTTCTGATGGGCATTTTTCTCCAATTTCTGACATCTGAATGCACTCTTTACATGAATAATAGAAAACATGAGGGGAAAAAGGCTCTTTTGTTTGTTGTAAGAGAGGAGGGGCAAGTAACATCATCACTAGTACTTGTCACATACACAGCTGGTGCTTGAATTACATGCAGTCTGTGCTGACCTTTGTAAATGTGGACAGATGACAGAACTGATGTCACGCTGACCTATATGGCCACATGCATGCAGCAAGTATGAGTCTTATTGAGACAATAAGAGGACTAAAGATGAGTTGAACCTACCTGTAATAAACCAAAGTGGACTCGACTGCTAGGAGCAGGAAAGGCATCACAGTGTAGCAGATGGCCAGCTGGGTGGCTGCCCAGGTGAAGAGGTCATATCCCAGCTTCAAGCCTCTGGAGCTCAGCATGTGTTGGCGGACAGACTTCCGTACCTGGTGGGGAGGGACAGATTAACAGAGAGAGATAAATCAATGTTTTCACATCCATGATATGATTAGTGTATTTAAGCAATGCTGTTGATGTAATTTCAACCAACCCAATGAAGTGACATGATCAAACTGTATTACCTTCCTTAAAAAAAGAAAGATATTCCTTCCTTACATTTTGCTTTGGTATAACTTTCATCAACATGTCAGCCTGGTATACTTTTTTTTTTTAACCTCAGATGAAGCTGGTCCATCAATCCTAACCGCACATTCAGGAAAGTACAATTCAAGCCCTTTTTTAAAGTTAAATACAGGTGTATAACCAATTTCTGACAGATACACATTTCGAGAACTGCTCTAATACTGTCAAGAAGAGTAAATAATAATAATAATAATATTAGTTTTTTTTTCATCAAATACAAATTATAGAAACGTTCCTTGCAGTTGTGTGTTCGAGGATTTATTTACTTTTTATTTATGATTTCATTTTTTCCAGAGGAGATAGAGAACTTACAGCTCTAGCTGCCATGGTGATGGGGATGGCAGTGATGAAGGTGAAATAATACCCAGGATAAACACCGTGCCACAGGGCCGACAGGATGAAGGTCAACGGCAACCTGTGCCTGGGGGCTCGGTCATAACACACCCTGAGGAGATGGGAGGAATCACACATTCAAAAATGTCTGTGAAATCTAAGTTGAGTAAATGTTTTCTGGCTGCAGGCATGAGTATTGAAGTTCACATTTGCAGGACTTACGTTTTGAGCCAAATTCCTGTTTGAATATTCCAGTTGTCTATGAATGTCTTGAAGCTGGTTGCGGTCTAAAAGAAAAATAACCACATAATTGCTAGAATTAGACCAACATCCACATGCTTGACACAGTGTGGGAGACTAATGTAGGTTTGTTATTTGAAATCTTGTGAAACATTGAAGGTACCTCAATCCTCAAGATGTTGATGTTGCAGATCAGGTCCCAAGATGGCTTCCCATTTGCATCCATCCCCAAGAAACCATATCCTGCTGCATTGTGGACAGCATCAGCTGACAGAACAGAGACAAATGTAAGTCACACGACTTCCTTGGCAGTAACAACAACGCTCATGGTCCCATTAAACTCACATAGTGTCCATGCGAAGTAGAACTTGGGCCTTGCTGCTTGTATGGAGAAGAAGGCGTAGGTGAGCCTTGTGAGGAAGGGGGCATTGTTCACAAACTGAGGGTCCACGTTGTACGTTATTGGCAGGGCTCGAGTCACAGTGAGGAAGAACAGCATACATCCGCTGCACACCAGCAGCTTTCTACAGACAGCATTCTGCACAGAAAACAGATAAGTGCTGAGCAGAGAGGAAATCACAGATTACAAATGGAGATGATGACTGGGATGGAGATGGAGATGAGAGGAAATGAGTCTTATTTAGAACAATACTGAAACAATAACAGCAATAGGACTATGTTCACAAACGGAAGAATCAAACTCCTGATGCGGTTAAAAAAGTCTCAAGTGAATACAAAAAACAGAACAGGAGAAGACTGCGGTCTATAATGGACAGGCAGATGTTACTTTAGTCTCTCTGCCGAACCGCAATGTGCGTTCATGAACTCACATTAGGCGAAGGCTCCGGTGTCTTATCGTAGCCGTTGTGCCCGTTACACGTCCCTGAGTGCTGCCTGAGCCTCCTGCTGATGTGTCTGCCCTCTATGAAGTCTATGTACTCCTTATAGTTACTGCATGGTCCCACCAAGATACTCAGGAAGTTCAGATTGTAACTCAGGTACTGGATGAGGGAAGGCCTCACACTGTAGAAAGATTGTTAGAAGAAATGAATGAAACCCAAACCAAGAATCCCTTTATTTCAGCTTGATTAGTCGTTGATTTGGTCGCTTTGTTCCCCGATTACAACAGTGCTGCAGCTTTGTGAGGAACTATGGAGAACTGGTTATGAATTGTAACAAGTTTCAAAATACTCAATACACACAGGAATCATAAAAGAGTCCATTTCAATAAGTTAATTGATTCCTAAACTGAGCTTCAGTCTAGTTTGCCGGTTATGAATACATCAAGGCTGAACGATCATTTGATGGCACAATCAAAGTACAATCGTATTCTGATACAATAAAACATAAGCGTTTATACACAGGAGCCACACTATGTGATGATAATGAGTGAATACTGTACATTAAATGAAGTAAATACATTAAATACATTCTAAAATGGCATGCATGGTACAATGATGACTGTTTTGTTTTCGATTCACATGCATAAACATGACATGTTATATTTGCCATGCAAAAAGATGACTCTTGTGACTCAAGTTCCCAGCATGCTTTTGACATGAACACACTATTCACCACCATTGCTTCTCCTTGTCATTGTCCTTTGTGGCTAAATGAAAAAAAAAAGTTTATTTATTCTTTAAACTAAGGTGATAAATCAGTGCATATATACTTTGACAGGGACATTGTGTCCCAATAAATATAAATCCTGCAAAACTATGTGCACCCCAAAGGGCTCCGACTTATTGCCATTTAAAATAAAAGTTTTCAGTTTTCGCCACAGTAAAACGTACTTTATTGCCAGAGTCTTCTGCCCCGGGCTCAGTTGTTCAGATTTCTTACACATACCTAAAAGATAAGAAACAATGTCATCAGTAATCTGTTCAAAACTTCAATTTGATCACTCTTTACCAAAAACAATGATGGCTGAATTTAATGTAGCTGCTTCATTGGCTGGAACTTGGTGTGTGTGTGTGTGCGCGTGTGCGTGTGCGCGTGCGTGTGCGTGTGCGTGTGTGTGTGTGTGTGTGTGTGTGTTCCTTACCATCATGGAGCTGGAAAGCCAGTGTGGTTATCTTCTGGGTAACTATCATCAAAGGCCTGGGCACAAAAAGTTACGAGTCAATTCATTTTAGACACTGACTTTATAACTGAAATTATACTTTTAATGGATATATAATCCAACTTTCACTGCCTATCTTCAAATAAAGTAATAATAAGAAATAAGTACCAAGGAAGAATAGGAGTAGAACCGACATCACCATTCAAATCAAGCTGGTCAGAGCAGCTGCCATTTTATCTGTAGTTACACTTCATTATCCACTCAATTCTATTTCAGTGGTGGTGATGATTTTTTAGCAGTCAAGAGCATTCTGATGTTTTTAGACTCACAACACCAGCCTGATGTAGATGTACGGAGCCCCTAAAGGGACATGGAAAAAAAAAAAAAATGGAGAGAAAAAAAATAAAGTCAGGAAAACGGATTCGTTTCTCGTGCGCACGAGAAACGAATCCGTTTTCCTGACTTTATTTTTTTTGAGAAAGTGTGGAAAGTGTGTTATGTTTACGTGGGGAAATGACAGAGCATACATTATTTGAGATAGACTATATTTTGAAGTCAGACTTAATTTTATGGACATTTCGGCCAGGGGTGTAGACAGTGGCGGCTGGTGGAAAATATTTTTGGTGGGGCTATGGAAATGGTGACAAAAACATACTANGCCTGTGGTCACTCTTTATAGCTGTTCAATGAAGGTAAACACAGAAGGCGGTGCGTAAAAGCTCTTTGAGCGCTGGTGCTGCTCTTCTCTGAGTTACACGTCCCGCTGCCTCCTGGAGTGACCACACACCCCTGGCCGAAATGTCCTTAAAGTGAAGTCTGAGTACGAAATATATCTCAAATAATGCACTGTCATTTCCCCACGTAAACATAACAGTCTGCAATGAAATGGTTGTGTCCTGTGCGCTTCACTTCCTCCTTGGCGCACCGGTAACTTTCTCCCCAAAAAAAAGTCAGGATAACGAGTTAGTATCTCGTGCGCACGAGTTAGTATCTCGTGCGCACGAGATAGTATCTCGTGCGCACGAGATACTAACCCGTTATCCTGACTTTTTTTTTTCTCTCTCTGTTTTTTTTTTTTTTTTTTCATGTCCCTTTAGGGGCTCCGTATAGATGGGCTACTCTGACAATATTTATAATACAGTGATCTTGTTTTTAAATGTTTTAAAAGCAGTATGTTTAATCAGCAGTAGGATATTTAGTGATCAGTCAAACAAACAAACAAACAAACAAACCCATAACAAGCAAAACAGCTGCTGAACATCTGCCTCAGGCTACAGAACATAGTTTCCCCCTGTGAATAACTTCATTGTTTCCAGCAGTGTCAAGTCAGGTCGCTTACTTATCCAATGCAATTCAGTCAATTCAATTTGCTTCTGTTCAATTCATGTCTCTGTAAACCAGGCGACCTGACAGACATGTTGTCCAGCTCCCAAAGCTCTAAATAAATTGATTTCATAAAGTAGCTTAATCGAATAACGCTACCAATGATTTCATCCAATGAGTAGAGAAAAACCAGCTGAATTTGATGTATTTGGGTATACCAAAAAGTGCTGGAAACGGGGCGACAGTGGGGGTCTTTGAGGTCCTCTACAGTAAGTCTGCACAGACTAGTTTCACACCCCCTCCCCTAGTTTCATTCACAGATAGAGAATCCTCTGTCCCAAGAATGTGAGGGTGTGTGCACAAAGGCACACATAACCTACATCTCTCTGTCTCTCTCTCTCTCTCTGTGTGTGTGTCTCTCTCTCTCTCTCTCACACACACACACACACACGCATTCTCACACACACATAGTGGGCTGCATTGTGTGGACAGCATGGAAAACTGAATTAGAGAGAGGCCGAGCGGCTGGCAGTGCCAGCAGAATGGGCGCTGGCAGCTGGCAGTAGAGAAACATTTTCAGGTTTCCGGCGACTCTGTGCAACTCTCTCCACCCCTGTAGCCAGAAGACTTTGTGACCGTTAACCAAGACTGACTCACAGGCCTGCTCACCATCACCAGAGTCACGAGGAGTGCAAGATAGGCCTCATGCGAACTCATCCATCCCAAAACTGAGCCAAAAAAGGTTGTGCAATATGGTGTCAGCAGAGACACCAGCGCCTTTTAAAGATAAACTGCCCACAGAAAACACTATCAGGTCAGGCAATATCCTGACAAACACACACTATATTAAGTTAAATATGTGTCTGTTTTTCTGAATGCTGGGATGCATATACTGTTCAACCCTCTTTATCAAAGCAACCACAAGCCATCAGTGTGAAAGTAACTATATAATGAAATGTAATTACACATTAGTCATCACATGATGACTAATGTGTAATTACATTATTACATCATCAAGTGATGACAGTGACACAATCTTCCATTTCTGAACTAATGAGCAATGAGCATCTTGTGTAATAGGAAATCCTCTCCTGCTTCCCTACGTTTCCTTTTAGCTCTTCTTCATGATCCTTACAGAGTCTAAATGCAATGCAAGGAATCCTTCAAATAAAGAGAAACATCCTACTGATACTACAACTGCTCTCTCCTTAAGAAGCAGCTTTGTTTATAACACATCCATAGTTGCCGGGATGCAGGGAGAACCTTAACTCCACCTGGTTGGGCAATGTCACACTGCTGCTTTTTAATCAGCACTGGTGTATTTACACAAGGCTGTGGCACAGGCCAACGTGTAAGCAGGTACAACATGGTTTGGAACTGATAACACTGGAGCAGATTTAAAACTGAAATGACTATCAACATCATCAACAAGGTGTGGCATAGGGAGAGGAAAAGAGACGGGACAATCAAAGGATTGTCTTTCTTACCCAGAGAAGTCAGTGGACAAAACTCCATAGTTATAGATGAAGACTCTGCTCACTTGGCACACTGTCAAGTAGCCCATAGCTGTCACCATGGAATACCTGTGTGTGGGGGAATGAAAAAAACTCAATCAGACAAAAGACAATTCACATTCTCTGGAGAAAGATACCTGCTATTCAAGTAGGGCTGCCATGCTTGGTTAATGAGGACATGTGTTTATTACTAAACTATTACTCAGAGATGATTATGGAATTTGTAGCATTTTAGCCAGAATACCCTGGTAAGAGGCTCTCTTTCAATATTTTCAGATTTTTCTTATAATGTCTAGTGAAATTGGTGACTTTTAAAATGTAAGCGACAACATGCAATTGAAGTAGAACAATTGTAATATACTGTTTTGGTACTAATGAGAGAAGCTGCTTCTTGAGAGCATGACAACATATGAACTGACCTGACCTGAAACGTGTGGTTTAAGCTCAAGGTAATTGAAAAAATACACAGGTTTGTAGGCGTGCCCTCAAGTTTCCTGAGTTTGTCGTGCTCCAATCAGAATAACCTCCTCACCCTGTGTTGCGGATCAAGAGGTTTTTTATGTGGTAGGCTTGTTGAAAAAGCAGCTTTAACAAAGTTTAAAATGCATTTTGTTTGCACATGTATAGAACAACAGGGTTTGTCTTCATTTCCCTGCAGGTAATCTCGTAAATACCAGAACCAAACATTTTGTTTGTGTTGTTCCATTCAGAACAAAAAAAGAAACTACAATGATACACTTGAGCCAAGTTCTTTCAAGCTAACACACAAACACACAACCAAATATGAGGATTACATATTACATTTTTATTTTTTTTATATAAATATATATATATATATGAGACCATACTATAACATGGATGCAAAGATAAAAAATTGCATTTTAAAATGAACACACACATATACAGTATATACACACACACACACACACTGGGTGTGTGTGTGTATTGTATATTTTTGTTTGTTTTGGTTTCATGGTTCTGCCACGAGCTCACAAGACAGTTTTGGGTAAGACATGGGGATAAGACACACACACACACTCACTCACAGTCCAGCTGTTTCCAAACAGGCTGGTCTGGGTGGTGTGTGTGAGAGAGAGGGGGTGTGTGTATGTGTGAGAGAGAGATTGGTGTGTGTGTGTGTGTGTGTGTGTGTGTGTGTGTGTGTGTGTGTGTGTGTGTGTGTGTGTGTGTGTGTGTGTGTGTGTGTGTGTGTGTGTGTGTGTGTGTGTGTGTGTGTGTGTGTGTGTGTGTGTGTGTGTGTGTGTGTGTGTGTGTGTGTGTGTGTGTGTGTGTGTGTGTGTGTGTGTGTGTGTGTGTGTGTGTGTGTGTGTGTGTGTGTGTGTGTGTGTGTGTGTGTGTGTGTGTGTGTGTGTGTGTGTGTGTGTGTGTGTGTGTGTGTGTGTGTGTGTGTGTGTGTGTGTGTGTGTGTGTGTGTGTGTGTGTGTGTGTGTGTGTGTGTTCTTATCTAACATGTTCTACATTAGTTTCTTTCATCAACAGTATTTGAGGCCACATTTTAACAGGGAGATAATGGGGCTGGGTGCATTGCAGTGTGTGTTGGAAATTAGTGGGAGGGAGTAAATTAATGATTGAATTCCAAGGGGTGAGCAACAACAAAAAACTTTGGTTTTACAGGCTGAACTGTCAATACTGCCTTATTATTACAAAATCATGTTTAATATAATCACCACGATCTGGACTGAGCCATCTGCTCACTCTACCAAATGACTTATGACGTTAATAAACTCCAGGTTGATCTTGTCCGACAAGTTTGACCTGACGACAACTATAACTAGTACTGCACCAGTATCTCTGGAAATGAGATAGCAGATATATCATCCACCTCTCAGTCTGTCTGGTCTAGACAAGACCTTTGCAGCAACATTTATAAAAAAGAACAAGTGTGTGTATGTCAAACCAAACCAATCAGGTATACAGTAACGGTTGTTCAGACTAAACAAACTGTCTGAACTGGGCAAAAGAGCTTTGATTGATTTAACTGGGCAGTAAAGAATAAGCTTTATTCCACTTGATATTAGATTTGTTCACATGTCATAAATTCCACAGTTACATTTCATGATCAATTTTAAATTCCAACCTTTTTGACTCAATAACTTAAATGACCCAGGCTTCAATGTGAATGTTTCTATGAAATATGAAGACCAACACTTGCCTGTGCACATTGTTGATGTCAGCGTTGATGATAATCAAGTAGCTTCCAACCACCACTGTCAGGATGTGAGCTGAGTACCTGCACACAAGGACACACAATTAGAACATGTGCATCATTATAGGTGTTTTATATGTCTGTGACAGGATGCAGTGTGCGTCAGTGAAGCCTAGATACATTTCCCCTAGTCAAATGCTACAACAGCCATTTCTCCTGTGTATCTTCTTTCTTAGCACCATTACTGTCTAAAGCCTGAGTGCCCTCTTATAATTATAAGCATGTGACCCTACACACTGGACACCAGCAGTGTTCGTTTGTCAGAAATGTAGAAAGATAATAGACAAATATAGTTGAGAACTCAGAGGTCAACAGCTATTTTTTACTAAAAATATATTTGTAATCTTGAGAGAAGTTGAATGGAGTACTACAGTATGTGAGCATATACTCTGACAGTACCATCCAAAGCAGAAGATGAGAAAGACAATGCCAAGAAGAGTGGCCACAGCGTGCCTGACCAGGGGATTGGCATGGCTAGGACTGAGGTAGAGACGAAACCAGAAGGCAGCAGCCAGGGCAAACAGCTGGCACGCCAGAAAATTCACCTGTGTGGGAGACATAGATACTAGTTTGTGCATCTATATATATATATATATGTTGTTTTTAATAGCTGACAGAAAACTCCTGTGGGAACAGCATAATGCAAGGATTGTAATGTTGTTTCATCCTCCTCATTAGTAGTGTATCAATACTATAAGGACGTATATTTCTGCTGTGTTTGTAAAATATCAAATAGTCGAAGATAAATGTTAAGAAGCTTATTTATTTTTGTAAACTTTGCCATGCAGGTCTTTTGTTTGTAAATTTCATTTTTGGAGAAACATAATCACCAAAAATCATTATCTCCAGCATTGCAAATAAACTTCGATGTGGGCGTCACTGATGAGGAATTACTGCCAGTCTCTCTAAGTAGTGACACGACGTTAATATATGTCATTTCAATGTCAAAAATAGTAAAGTTTCTCTTGTAAAATAAAATAATAAAATATGTAAAAATTGATAGACCAGTAACACATACTTTTATTCGCAACATATATTTGGAAATTTAGAAATCTTAACTCTGACTCTAAAAATAACTGTTATTCATGGACAGGTAACCTACTCTTACCTGATCCAGAGGAAAGCCCAATAGTTCACTGACAGGCAGCAGCCACTTGGAGCCAGTAGTTTTAAACCCGGTGTCCTCGCCCTCGCCCATCCTACGTGTTTTTTTCTGTTACGAAGCCTCTATGTTATCGACTTTTTCTATGTTGTTTAGCAAACTACTTACTATTTTATGTCACAAAAATACATTGTTTGCCCGAAAGGCTCGCAACAAGTCAGCCAAATCCACAGAGTGACACTCGCGGCTCTCCCTCAGACTCAGTACCAGTCAAGTCAAACAATAATAATAAAAACTTCCGGTCATTGCTTTCAAAATAAAAGCCGTGTCAACGAACCCTTATGAAAATAAGATAACAAGATTCAGGTTTAGCCTACAGTATTTTCCCGCAGGAATAAACCGGTTCTGCGCACTTGTTTTAGCCCACACTCTACTCATAGACATTCCACCTCAAAATGCAACGTTTGAATTATTATTATCACGCATATTTGGTTTTTTGTGCGAACCCGCCTCCAATTAAAAGTGGAAGAGTATTGTGTTTTTCTCTAAAAATGACATAAACTGCATCGTTGGTGAAATGTGTTTAAAGGGAACCATCTGCCTATTGTTGTAGGCAGCGTTTATAGTACTTTGGAACGTTAAATATATGCCTTTGAAAGTCATGTTATTCTACTTCCGGCGTTATTCAGGCTCTCTCTCTTTAGCTTGGATCAATATTTGATGACAAAGTTGGAGCAGTGGCCCTGACCCCCGCCCTTATTTACGGGCTCATGATGAAAAAAAAATAGGCCATCTCATTAAAAAGATCAAGAAATAATGAACAATTGTTTGGATAGTTTATTCAAAGACAATACTTATCATTTGCTGTGATCTGTTTTAACTTGTGTTTACCTAAAGTAGTATACAAGTGATGCCACAGGGGAGAATCTTCCACATTCTGAAAAAAAAGAATGATAAATCATCTATTGCTTTATAAAACATTAGATATGAAGTAGCCAATGTCTTTTGAAGCAGTATGTGTGTTTGAAGAAAGTAAGAATATAATAATTTTTTATTGTCATTGTGATTACATGTAGCACAATGACAGTTGGTTTAGCTAGCTCTCAGCAGTATGACACATACATTTACAAGCATATGAGCAAATTATATTGGTATAAAGGTAATCTGTAGTACTAACCTTTCTTTTCATATGAGGCCATTCCACGGCTTGCATGGCCAGTGTGGGAAATAATATGTATTAGTTATTGTGCAGTCGTTGTTATATCCAGAATGTCAAGCTTTGTCGGTATCTGCAATGAAATATGAGCTCTTGTTGCAAGGGGTTAGTTCAAGGATGACATTTAAAGTGAGGCAGCACATACAAACAGAATAGAATGTTAGCCTTTCCTAAAAATGAACAATTGATGTGGCATTGAATAGATTGCCATGAGTTTGTATCTCCTCTTGCTGTGAGGTCAGAGGTCAGGATCAGCTACAAAAACATCCTGGTAAAGACCTATACCTTTTGAAATAACAGTTCAGTTTCTTTATTCAATTGATGGGTTATATATATCGTATTGTCAGTTGTTTGGTAACGTTTAGTTAATAAAAATACAGATGCTTTTATATATTGCTTTTTGTGAGTCTTCTATACAGTTTGACCAGGTCCCTGCAGGCCGACTATTCCAATGTAAAACATTTAAATACAATAAAATACCTATCAGGACTAAGGTGCCCTTCTGGTAATATTGGTTGTCAAAGCTATTCTTACACACAAGTTACATTAGCTTAAGTTCAACAATGCACTTGATATGTTCTATGCTGAACATTTGACAACTTGACCAGAAACAAATAATGAAAAATGCTAATGTTTTAATAAACATGCTCTGAATGAAATTAAAAAGGAATCAATGTCAATGTACATGTTTACCTCATTTAGCTTTTTTGTCCTTGTCTTGAGCTGTTATCTAAGGTTCTTTGAAGGTACAAAAACAGAGTCAAACATCTTGTATTGTTCACACTTGTTGAGCAAATAAAGTTGATTCTGAATTAGGCTTTCATATGGAATTAAATGCAATGACAGCAACCTAAGAGGTCAGTATTTAATGCACTAAGATAATTGTGTCACTCTGAATCGAGTTGAGAAAGAGTACCGTGCCGACCACCACGGGCTGAAAATATCCCTCCAGCCCTGTCTCGTCAGCACAATTGGTCGCTTGCGCCACTTAGCGTCCTGTCAGGGAACACACAAGGCGTGACAGGTGACGCTGCCTGTTTACAACTGCCAATGAACACGTGGCGCGCAAGATATTGAGCTGTCATTGGCCTATCCGGCTGTAATGTGGGTGGGGACTCCTCTCTGAAGAACCAATAGCATCTGACATGTACATTCTGTTTAAAAATTTGCCGGGAAATCTGAGTTTCGCGGGAGGGCTCTTGAGCGCGTAAACCGTATCCCTTCATTCATCAGGCCGTTTCCTGAAGCCATTTCTAGACGGGGGAACCGAGAGTTGTGCTACTTTTTAATCCGTTGCATCTGCCTAAATGCACCATCTTAAGGAAAAATACTTTACAAAAGTCGATCAATCAGACTTTCATCTTTACTTCGGTCTGATTATTTTTGTAACTATTGCGGAGGATTAGCAGATATACGGGCTTGAAAGTACAGAGACAAGAAAGGGGTTACCCGAATACGCAAGATGAGAAGAGGGATCTCCTCGGCTCCGGACAAAGTGATTTTAGCGGGGGTTGGGGGCTCTCATTTGGACAATAATATAATTTTAACAACTCTCACGGATCGTTTAAACCCCAGTCAAGCCAACGCTACCTATATCCAAATAATAACCACCCCACCGCCTTGCAACGTTACACAGACATCAAATGTGTGTTTATTGGATCCTTCGATAAACAACATTTACACAACTCCACAACAAGCTGCAGCAAACGGAGCAGGACAACGACCCGCTCTGGGGAGACCGCCGGTAATAATCTATACAGCTCGTTTTAACATATAAGGCTTGCTACACTAGCCACAAACACGACAAAATGTTAGCTTGCTAGGCTAGCCGAGCTTGTTGTTCGGGCAGCTAACATTAGCTGCTTAGCCAGAGCATTGCCTTAACCTAGCGAGGTGGCTAACTAACTACCGCTAGCTAAGTTGCCCAAGTGGGTTAGTTATGTGTTATGTTGACTGTTTTAAAGCACACGTCGAGTTTAAGTTTGTTATACATATACAGAAACGTTTACAAGTCGTGCTATGCTAACTTCATGGTGCTTTTGAGTCCGCTTCACCCTTGCAGCCAGATGGAAATATTGGTAGGAGATGAGTAACGTTAGCGATGGCCTAGTGGCTGCTGTTGGTGCCCTAATTTGGGGGTTGGGGGATTGTTGGGCTGCTTGGCTTTTAGTTAGCTAAATGTTAGCTTTCTGACAGGACACGAGGCGCTAAACTTTGGAAATAAATGGGATTAAACTTGGCTAAAGCTTCAGTTCAATTTAAAACTACTCGATATACATTTCTCCCAGTCGTCTCTGAAGATGCAAGCCAACTTGGATGAAGCTCTCAAACGTGTTAGCTTTCAAGGCTAGTAGCAGTATTGATTATCAAAGGACAACATAACACGATGTGGGCCTTGAATTTGTTTTTGCACAAGTGCTTCATGTTCTGCTTTTTGTAAATAAAGTGTAACACTTCTTTTTATGCCAAGTAAAGTGAAACTCGAGTTTGTTGCTGTAGAACTGATTGCACGTTTCCTGTGTTCTCAATCTGCACAACCCACACTAAATAGTTTAAGCAGCATTCAGGGTTTTGGTTTGTTCCTGGCTATTCATCTTTAAAGAACTAAACCACACTCTATATCTCAAGCTTTAGCTATGACCAGGCAGGGGGTGAGGGGAGCTGCTTGCTGATATAAAATGGCTGACATTTTGACTGTCAACAGAGGGCATATTATTCCTTCTCAAACTTGGGCAAGATGAAGTAAGTATTCAATATGAGGTTGACTATACTTTAACTCAAAATATGATTGTTAATGTAATACTTCCACATAGGTTCAAGGGGTAGACCAGCACCCGGGGACTAGTGTGTTGCTCAGACACTTAACCAGGATGGATTATGGCCAACATGGAAGTCCAAGGGTTCCCTGGTTGAAGAGACTATTCACTAAGCTGTCATGTCACAGTAAAACATAATTTAATTCCAATTTAGGGTGATGAAAGAAAAGACCTGGAAAAACTTGTGTTAGAGAAATGGTTATGATAGTCAATTCAGATTTTGCCATATAAATAACCTGGAATATTGAACACAGTCTAAATTAGCCTAACCATGGATTTAAAAACAACAGTGGTGACGAGATAGACATTAAAATGTCTACTATTTCTAAAACGCACACAGTGATGAACATACCTAACCTTTGTCAGGTGACACCTGTGCTACAGAAGAAGAAAGTGATTCTGATGGCTTGGACATTGGAAACCTTTACTCTTGGCAAAGATTAATATGGATTTAGGTTAATAAAACAAATGATTATACCCCAACTGTTATTCAAAAACTGCCTATTTTTGGGGTTTTCACTAATGGGTTAATGTGGTGCAGAAAATTACTTTACAGCTTGTAAAATATTGAAGTCAATGGGTTGATTTTGCTATCTCCTTTTTGTCTTTATACTTGTATTGGTTTCCTTTGGCATTACTGTACAGCTATGTGATCATACCCATGTACGTGACTCACTCTTAAGCTATTAGGGTTTGTCTTGGCCAATGCGATCAGAAAAGAAGAATTCAAAACCACTGGGTTTGCTCAACATCGTAAACATAATTTCTCCATGTTACACTTACATTTTGACAAAATAATGTTGTCTTTTAACTGCTTTATGACAATCTTTTGGACATCTCCTCCTGGGACATACAAATAAGTGGTCAAAATAAGAATGAAGTTTTGTTGTATCAACTTTTTTTACAAAAATCAGACAAGATAACTGACTCATCAGATAAAAGTAATGACAGATTTAGCAACTTATATCATTTCTGGTTTCCGTGAAGATAAGATGCCTGCCAAAGGACCAAACCTGCCCTATGTGCTGTTAAAATATATATTTTTGTCCCTAGGCAAAGAGGCGGTTGGCGCTCGATGATTCAGACCACCAGTACCAGTCAGAACCAACCAGGACTCCTAGAGCCCGAGGGGAGGCCGCAGTGGCCAATGGGCCACGGCTAAAAACACCCAGAAGTAAGAAACCCCCTCCCATTGTGTTTGTACATGTCACCTTGA